TGACCGAAAACATCCCTGTACGCATCCTTAACCCAACACCTAATGAGGTCAGACTAGCTGCAGGCACACACTTGGGGAAGTTAGTTGAAGCCGAGACAGAAACTGATAAGAGCCCCATAAACAAAGAGGCACCAGACCAAAAATGCTTAAACCAAGTACCAAATCACTTAACGGGGCTTGTTGAAAAGTCCATAAGGGGCCGTACAGAATCAGAGTCTCGTGAAATAACAAGTTTACTGATTGAATTTCAAGACGTATTTGCTAAGGATGCCAATGATGTGGGATGCTTTTCTCCAATATCTCATCAAATCGCAACTGGCAATGCAGCACCTGTTCGTCAGCCTGTTCGACGCACACCATTAGGATTCCAGAACGAAGAAAAGCAACACCTACAAGGTCTTCTTAACAGTGGCATTGTGGTCCCATCCAGATCTGACTGGGCTTCTCCTGTTGTGTTGGTAAGAAAAAAAGATGGTGGCGTCAGATGGTGTATCGACTATCGGAAGTTGAATGACGTAACCCGGAAGGACTCTTACCCCTTGCCAAACATTGAAGAATGTCTGGATACCCTGGCAGGAGCTACTATTTTCTCAACTATAGATTTACAGCAGGGATACCACCAAATTGAAGTGGATCCAGAAGACCGTAGGAAGACGGCATTCATCACACGCTATGGGCTTTTCGAGTATACTCGCATGCCGTTTGGGTTGTGTGGAGCCCCAGGTACGTTCCAAAGGGCTATGGAATTTGTGCTGAAAGGACTTCAATGGGACATGGTTCTGATATACTTAGATGATGTCATTGTGGCCAGTTGTGGAGTAGAAGAACATATAACCCACCTAAGAGAAGTACTGTAAAGATTCAGGGAAAGTAATTTGAAGCTAAAGCCATCAAAATGCTGTTTCTTTCAGGAAAGTGTTATTTTTCTTGGACACCGAATCAGCAAAAATGGAGTGGAGGCTAACCCGGAGCTTACCCGCATAGTCCAGGAATGGCCAAGACCTGAATCTGTAAAGGATGTCCAGTCCTTTCTCGGCTTGACAAACTATTATCGTCGGTTTGTTGATAAATATGCCGAGATTGCAGAACCACTCTACCAGATAACTAAGAAAGGAAAGACTTTTGATTGGGGATCTCATCAGCAAGAAGCATTTACCACACTGAAAGACAAGCTGGTATCCCCACCCATACTGGCTTACCCTATGACTAATGGTACTTTTGTCTTGGACACAGATGCTTCTAACTATTGTATAGGAGCTGTTCTTTCACAGCATCAAGATGGCAATGAGAAGGTTATAAGTTATGCAAGCAAACGTCTGGGTCCTTCGCAAATTAAGTATTGTGTTACCAGGAAGGAACTGCTTGCTATTGTTACTTTCACCCAGAAGTTTAGACATTATCTGCTTGGAAGGCAGTTCATTGTTCGAACTGATCATGGCTCCCTTACCTGGCTTTACCGATTCAAAACTCCACAGGGGCAGCTCGCACGTTGGCTCGAGCATTTGAGTCAATTTGACATCATCTTCCAGCATCGAAAAGGTGTAAATCATTGCAATGCTGATGCATTATCTAGGTATCCCATGACAGAACCAAGTTGTGAATGCTATCATGTTGGGTCACACCTGTCAGATTTGCCATGCGGTGGTTGCAAGCATTGTTTGAAAGTTCACCAGGAATGGTCTAAATTTAGCACAGATGTTGATGATGTTCTACCCCTTGCAATTAAAACTGACTCTGACATGACTTTTGAAGGGCACAGTGCCCACAAAAGCACACAGGAGTCTAATGCGGATCAAGATACTCAGGACAGCTGTTTTGGAGGACACGGTGTCCACAAACAGAGTCCTGAGTACGACAGTGAAGACGAGTGTTTAGACGTGCGTTGCCTAGAAGAAGACTCATTTGAAGAAGAAAATGGAAGTACCATTTCGTTGGATGTTTATACTAGCAAGGAGCTGGAAGAAAAACAAAAAGGCGACCCTGAGCTTTGTACTCTCTTCAAGTGGATGGAAGAAGGTTTTCCATCAGACCGTGGAGAATTGTTCTCGGAATCACCTGCATTGAGGCATTACTGGTTGACAAAAGACAATCTCTTTCTTGAAGATAACTGCTTGTTTTACTGTTGGAGATTTCCAGAAGGAAATAGAAAGTTGTTCATTGTTCCTGATGTGTTGAAGAAAGAAATATTGGAGATCGCTCATTGCTCCCCATTGTCTGGCCACCCAGGTATCAAACGTACCATACAACGCCTGAGACAAAGCTTTTACTGGTATAGCATGACAGATTATGTTACCACCTATGTGAGATCATGCGAAAAATGTGCAGTGAGTAAAAAAGCAAACAAAACTAACCGATCTGCGTTACAAGAGTACTTTGCAGGTTCCCCATTAGACAGGGTACAATTAGACATCTTGGGTCCCTTTCCAATATCTAAAAAAGGAAACAAGTACATTCTTGTATTAGTAGATCAGTTCACCAAATGGACTGAGTGTTACCCCCTCCCTGACCAAACCGCCGAGTCCATTGCCGAGATACTGGTAAAGGAGTTTATTGCACGGTTTGGCGTACCTCTCGAAATACACACAGATCAGGGGCGAAATTTTGACAGCGAATTGATGAAAAAGCTGGCTTCACTGATGGGATGGGCAAAGACGAGAACAACTCCGTATCATCCGTCCTCCAACGGACTGGTAGAACGGTTCAATAGAACCCTGTTACAAATGATGCGGTGTTTTGTTAGCCAAAACCAAGATGATTGGGACACCCATCTCCCACTTCTTACTGGAGCCTATCGCAGTACGCCGCACACCAGCACAGGACTAACGCCTAACCGCCTAATGCTTGGTCATGACGTTCACCTTCCACAGGAAGTCATCTTTGGGCTACATCCATCTGAGCAGCATTCTGAAGCAGATTATGTCGAACAACTGAGGATATCTATGAAGAAGTGCGAGGATCTTGCTCGTCAGAACTTGAAGAAAGCAGTCAAAAGCCAGAAAAGATTGCATGATTTAAGGCTGTATGAGAGAACATATAATATTGGTGACCTCGTCTACATCAAGGATGATGCTAAAAAGATAGGGAAGAGCCCAAAACTTCAGCCTCTCTGGAAAGGACCAGCTGTTGTTTCCAAAAAGTTGGGACCAGTTTTGTATAATGTGATAACGAAAAAAGGTTCCTCCACCCTCCATCATGATCGTCTGAAGCCATGTCAAGTTGATACACTGCCAAGATGGATTGCCAAGGTTCGTCGCCAGTTAAAATATTGTAACGACTTTGACGAACTTTCTAAGGAATGTGCAGATGGAGTTGAGGATAGGCGAGGAAACGATGAAGTTTGGACAACAGAATCAAGCCTACAGAAGGAAGAGAGAGCCTCCGAATGTGCAGATGGAGTTGAGGATAGGCGAGGAAACGATGATTTTTGGACAACAGAATCAAGCCTACAGAAGGAAGGGAAAGCCTCCAAGAAGGATGATGCTGTAGCACCTGTCACAAAGAAACCTACGGACCAAGGGGAATTCACTAGGAGTGGGAGAGCGGTGAGGCGCCCACAGAGATTTGACAGTTAAATTGAACATTTTGCTTTGTACATGTACTATTTGTTTTATGTGTTTGTTGAAAATGTAACATTTTCTTTCTTGGGAGGGGAGTAGTGTAGTGCAATTGTGTATTTGCCGTCGGGTTCGGCGTCTCAGTAATTACATTATGTTGTTCTAAAATTAAACTCTGAAGCTGACGGACGTGTTCTTGTCTTCTCCCGGGTTTTTGGAGCCACGTGGTGCCAAACTAGGACCCACACCATTACCAAAGCACCACACTATAATAAATCATATTTTTGAAGGGTCACTAAAAACATTTCTAAGATATGAAAAACCAGAAGGCACCTATCATTTACTATGACTTGACCTTCAAGTGTTTAAGAGATGTTTATGATGGGAGGGTTTGGAACAAATTTTAGACGTTTAAAAACAAATCATTTTGTCTGATGTTTGAGGAATTGATTTAATGATGGTTCCAGACTTTTAGGTATATGAAAGATAATGCTGCAGGTGTAATATACCAGTATTATACGCAATTCATTTCAAATCTGCCAAGGATTACTTGTATTAGGTACAAATCAGGAAATATGATTATGGCAGGTCTGATACGACCTTTCCGAAAAGAGCAAAAGCTGATTTCATTTTTAGAAATTATTTTCAAAAAGTTAAATTGTGGCAGAATGTTAAACTAGAATCATTATTGTTTAGAAAAACATACTTCCTTATGGCTGCTTTGCTATGTGTCGCTCGTGATGTTCCTGCAGCACGTGTAAATGTTGGGGTTTAAGTCTCGTGAGGCAAATTTAGGCTATAACAAATGCTGTAAAACTTTCGGTAGGTGTTTTGGGGAGAAGAGGGACTATTCCGGTCTCGACATACAAAATTCGAACGCAAAAACAAAAACATCCCACAATCTATATGCTAAGATGGTGAATGCAATGCAAAACATCAAAGCTGAGTCATATAATTTAGCAAAGAAATATGGAACATACTATAGTGTTTTGATTAAGCTTGAGTACTTTTTGAGTTAGAGACCCAATGCAAATTTCTTTTTGAGATCTGCAAAAAACTGCTTTTCAAATTTAAGTGGAAAGAGATATCTTAAGTTTTAATAGATGGGCTGTTAAACTTTGGAAGGACTGGTCACAGAACAGAAATACATTACCTGAAATCTACACGGAGAATCCATCTTTTTTTCTAATACCTGTGGAAATTTCATCAGCAACTATTGAAGAACTTCAGTTTTGGTTGCCGCGTTTCATCAATGAAATCAGAAGAAAGGATGGAACTAACTACCCACCAAATACCCTACGAATATTGCAGCAGGATTCAGCAGGGATTCAGCGTCATTTAAGAGAGGAATGCAACCGTCCTACTGTTAATTTTCTAAAGAAAGATGACCCCACCTTTGATTTGTTCAGGAAAAGTTTAGATTCAAGGATGAAAGAATTAACCAACATGGGAGTGGGGACTAAAGTGAACCGAACAGACCCCGTTTTACAACAAGATGAAGAACAGTTAAGGAATTCTGGGGTTCTGAACCAAAACACCGCTCAAGGGCTCTCTGTGTGTTTTTTTTATAATTGCAAACTTTTTGCTTTTAGAGCAAACGATGAGCACCGCAATTTGGATGTCTCTCAATTTTCCATTAATTATGACCACGAATCTGGTTTGAAATACTTGGAATTTAAGGGAAGATCCTGTAAAAATGTCCAAGGAGGACTAAAGCACAAAAAGGTTGAAACCAAAAATATTCATCATTTTGAGCAGCCTGAAAACAAGCGTTGTGTGGTTAAAGTTTATGAAAAATATCTCAGTTTGATTCCTTATTCTGGTGCATTCTACAGGAGACCCATGGAAGGAAATGTTCTTAAATTCAGTTCACAAGTTATTGGTGAAGAGAAATTGGGTGGAATGATGAAAAATCTGTTTTCGGAAGCTGGAATTGATACAACTGGAAGGAAAATTACAAATCATTCGGGTATAGTAGGCTGTTGCACATTTTTATTTAACAGCGGTTTTGATGACCAAACTGTTCGATCTAGAAGCGGTCACAGGAGTTCAGCAGTTGAACTATACAAACGCCCGCTAAAAGATCTCCAGCTTAAATGCGCCAATGGTGAAAGATGACAGTGATAAGGAAAACACTGATCAGATAATTAAAAGTAAGGAAACAATTAGTGACAATAATTCCAATAAAGTCTTAACATTAATTGTTCCTAATGAAATTGAAACACTTGTAATTGAAAAAAATGGAAAGAAAATCAGGCTTTCATTGTAACAATTCTAATTACTGTACATATCTTTAATTTCTTGTTTTGTGTTTTGAATACAATTTGTGTATATTTCAAGAAATATTGTCATTATTTTTTTGTTTCCTCTCGACAATCATAGCCATAAATTCACCGAGTCTACATTCCATTGATATGGTAAACCACGCCTCTGCTCCAAATAGGTCACCATTTCTATGGAACTTAGAGTCAGTGAATTCAGGGCTATGATTGGTCGAGAAGTAAAGCTTGTCCTCTAAATACTGGTTATTCTTACTCTGACCTGTCTGGGATGTCATTCAGCAACGAAGACAGAGATAACGAGTACATTTTACTGGATTGTGCTATATAATAATAATCAGGGGTATATTGTGGGTATATATATTAGTATATCTATAACCGCTGAACGAGGTAACGACATATGAGTGAATTTAACTCTTCTGTGTTATATATTTATAACTTTCCATCAAGGAAACGAATAGTGAAACAATAGACCACCTGACATGTACTTAACTACCACTGACAATGATAGCGGCAGATAGAGAGGATATATCTTAATTGTATAATTGTCTTTCTCAATAGAGACGACATGTGAAGCTATAATCTGTCTGGGGTGAACTTCAGCACCATAGATAAAGATAATTGCACGGGGAGTGGATAAAGCTAAAATGGTATTTGTGTTAATTTGTACAACACATCTGCACACCGGAGTTGACAGAATATTTTGAAAATACTGGTTATTCTGACACTGATCTGTCTGGGATGAAGTTCGGTACCACAGGTAAACAAAATAGTGGGAAAAACTGTGCTGCTGTATGCGAATGAGAATTGTTGCTCAATATCCATCCCGTTATGTTAACCACTGGTAATTCTGACGCTGTTTGAGAGTCCCCCGCTTTCACCGATAATGGAGGATACTATTTTCGGTCTGTCTGTAACACATTAGTTTCCACGCGCTGTCGGGAGAAACCTTTGAAGTTATTTTGAGGTCAAGGTTGTAAATGCTTACATTATTTACAATGTGTACCTTAAGTATGTGTCAAAACAGTGAACAAAACGTAAAGTAAATATTTGTAACGCCATCAAAACGACCAAATAAGCTTAAGGTAATAGAATATTCAGAAGAGCTGATGGCTCGAAATTCCGAGGAGTATGGTGGGGAAAAATTAAACAAGTTACAAAATATGTTAATTATTTAACCGTTGTGAACTGTGGCCTTTCATATTCATTGAGGAT